CCATGGACAGGTGGCAAGTCATCGTGACATCGCCACGCGCCTACGAGCCACCATCGCACGAGGAAGGGCCCACGGGTCCTGCTGTCACCTGGAGTTCGTTCTGCGAGACCGCCCAATACAGCACGTGGGATGCGTGGTGCGCAGGGCTACTGGCGCGCTTCGAGCCAATCGCGGCTTCGATTTCGGCGCGTCAGAGATTGCGCACTTGGCGCCAGCACGGGTCGGTTCAAGATTATACAAGCGGTTTTCTCGCACTTTGTGAACAGGTCGGCTACATGCACGAAGCGGAGCGGGTGGACCGTTACGTCGGAGGGCTGAAGCCGGATATCTCGCACGAAATAATGCTGCGCGGACTCTCTAACTTCAACGAGATTCTCGCGCTCGCCGAGAAAATCGACATTCTACGCCGACCGAGACCGGGTCTACAGACATCGCCCTCGGGGACCGGCCGAGCACGCCACTGTACACGCCGTCGCAACGAATGCAGCTGCCGCACCGTTCAAGGGGCGCTGCTTTGCTTGCAACAGGCCGGGCCATCGCAAGACCGAATGCCCAGAGGAGCTGAGGCGTCGAGGAGCAGAGCAGGGGAGGGAGTCTCAGAGGCAGGGAAACGCCAGCAGTCAGTAGAAGTTGGGCCAACTACTGACGAGACTGCCTGCTCGCCCAACCGCACCGACCCTCACCAAGTCACAGTACCGATTCACGCCATCGATCGGGCTCGGATGAATAAGGAGGGTACAGCGACGGATTGCCCAGTACTGATCTACGGGAAGATACAGGGAGCAGCAGTGAAGATTTTTATAGACGGAGGAGCAAGTCACAGTTTAGTTAATACCGCGACCGCACGGAAACTGCTGTTAACACTTAACCGTTGCTTACCTGAGATAGACGCACGCTTAGTCGACGGCACGCCACTGGCCATACGGGAAAAGGTGGAGCGAGTAAAAGTCCGCTGCGGAGGGAACTTCGGGTTTACACAGGAAATGCTCGCCACAATACTGGATGGGCACGACATTTTATTGGGACGGTATTGGCTGCGACGGTATAACCCGCAAATTGACTGGACGACGGGTAGCTGCATCGTGCGAAGTAGTGGTAACTGGGTCAAACTACCTCGCTGGCGGTCACCCGAGTCTTCAACGGTCCACGTTAACGCCATCACGATGAAACGGGTTGTTGCCGCGGGAGCTGACGTGTACGCATTGGATATAGCACTAGTAGGAGAAGAGGAGCAGCCGAGCGATTTTCAGAAACTGTTGGCAGCGGTACCGCCCGTACTTCAGGATCTGTTGAAACGGTACCCGGGGATTTTTCCAGACGATTTACCGCAAGGACTGCCACCTCAGCGGGCGCATGACCATAGGATCGAGTTAGAACTGGGGGCACAGCCAACTGTACAGCGCCAGTTCAGACTGACATAGCCCGAGCTCGACGAACGAAGGAAGCAGTTAGATTATTTGTTAGAGAGGCAGTTTATCCGGCCGAGCTCGTCACCGTTCGCCGCACCGATACTGTTCACACCGAAAAAAGACGGAGGATTTCGCATGTGCATTGATTACCGAGCGCTGAACAGAGTAACAGTCAAATCGCGATACCCCATCCTTCGCGCCGACGAACTAATAGACCAGCTGCGAACAGCACGGGTATTTTCGAAAATAGACTTACGGGGGGGTTACCATCAAATTCGGGTCGAACCATCGGACTGCGCCAAGACAGCATTTAGGACTAGGTACGGATCATTCGAGTACACGGTGATGCCTTTCGGGCTGACCAACGCGCCCGCAACATTTCAGATGACCATGAACGAGGCGTTTAGGCCACTTTTAGATAAATGCGTGATAGTTTACCTCGACGACATCCTCGTTTACAGTCGCAACCAGCAGCAACACTTAGTCGATCTCGAAGCAGTGTTTAAAGTTTTAGAGGAACATCGGTTACTCACCAAGGGCTCCAAGTGCGAGTTTTTTCAAGATAGGCTAGAATTCTTAGGGCACGTTATTTCGGAGGCTGGAGTTGAAATCGTCCCCAAGAAGCTGGATACCGTAAAAGCGTGGCATCCCCCGACAAACATCACAGAGCTGCGGAGTTTTTTAGGGTTCGTTAATAACGTTCGTCGGTTCGTCCCCGACATGGCACGATTAACAGCCCCGCTAACAGATTTACTACGCAAGGGTGTCGCTTTTACGTGGGGGGAGAAAGAGCATGCTGCCTTCTCTGCCCTGAAAACTGTTCTCTGTTCACCACCCGTCCTACGCATCGCTGACCTACATCGCCCCTTCGAGGTTGTTACAGACGCGAGCGACATCGCCATCGGAGCCGTACTGTTACAGGACTTCGGCAACGACCTCCAACCCATCGCCTACGAATCACGCAAACTGCATCCGCCTGAGCGAAATTACCCGATACACGACCGCAAAATGCTCGCGATCGTGCATGCATTCAAAGTGTGGCGCTGCTACTTGACCGGCGCCAACGTGACAATACGGACAGACCATCGATCCCTACAGTACCTCCGTGCACAGCCCCACCTCAACCAACAGCAGATTCGGTGGCTCGACTTCCTCGAGTCGAACTTCCATTATACGGTCACCTATAAAAAAGGAGCCTCCAATATCACCGATGCACTGACCCGCCCCACTGCCCAGATCCATGCGATACTACTCGCCCAGACCAGTCCGCTAGTGACAGGACTATTTACCCACGGATATCAAACAGACCCATTCTTCACAGGAGGAAACTCGCAACAATTCGCAGCAGCCAAGGGAGTCTATTACGTAAAAGCTGGAACCGACCGCATCTGGGTACCATGGTACACACTACTACGGGAATTACTGTTACAGGAGGCACACGACGGAGTTACCTCGGGACATTTTGGAGTAGATAAAACACGGCAGCAGCTGCAGCGGTACTATTACTGGCCTGAAATGTTGACCGACGTGCAACGACACGTGGCATCGTGTCCCACTTGCCAGCTCATGAAGTCAACTAGGAAGCGGCCGGCGGGACAATTACAACCAATCCCACCTCCAGAGCGTGCTTGGCAGCAAGTGACGATGGACTTCGTCACGGGGTTACCGGCCGGGGCGAGTGGGAATGACGCGATCCTGGTCGTCGTCGATCGACTGACGAAAATGGCACACTTCGCAGCCTGCAAGAAAACAATCACAGCCAAGGAAACAGCCCGACTCTTCATCACCACCGTCGTTCAACTGCACGGGATACCAGCAATTATCAGCGACAGAGACACGAAGTTTACCAGCAATTTTCGGCGGAACCTGTGGCAGCAGTTCGGCACGCGACTAGAATTCAGTTCATCGTATCACCCCGAAACCGACGGACAGACAGAACGGACAAACCAGACCATGGAGCAGCTTATTAGGGCCACGTGCGACGACCCAAACACGTGGGAGCAGCAGCTGCCACTCATCGAATTCGCATACAACAACGCGCCATCCGCCACGACCCAACAGTCACCGTTTTACCTGAATTACGGACAAGACCCCACAGTACCCATGACCCCAAATCCCGACAACCCCGTTCCACGTGCACAACAATTCGCCGAGATTTTGCAAGCAGCACGGACCAGGGCAGCAGAAGCAATCAAAAAATTGAACATCATCGCTAAACGCAACGCCGACCGCCACCGCAGACCTGTCACTTATCAGCCCGGCGACCTCGTTTTACTCGACACTCAAAACCTCCGCCTGCTCATCACTCCCAAACTCCGCCCCCGATACTGTGGGCCATTTCGAATTAGCCACATGATCACACCTGTCACCGCGCACCTCCTCCTCCCTGCTGACTGGTACGTCAGCCCCTCGTTCCACGTCAGCCTGCTTCGCCCTTACGTACCATCCACAAGCCAGCTCCCACAAAATCGCCCAGCCAGCATGGCTCGTCCGCCAACCTAACCAATCATCACCCCCGACAAAATCCTGAGCCACATAGTTCGCGACCCTCGAGGAGCCCGAAAGATCGAGTTCCTGCTCCGCTGGAAAGACCGTACACCCACCAAGGACAACCGGGTTCCCCTGGACAGAATTGAAAACCACCCTGTTCTCACCGAATATCTGTGCAGCCGAAACTTCAAAGACGGCCACGCTCTTTCGTAAAGAGGACCTCCTTAGGAGGGGGGGTAGTGTAAGGAAAATCCCTTTTCCTTACTTCGCATCCCTGCTCAACGCGTACATCACTGTAGCACCTCAGTCAGCAGCGTTACCACTCGCGATCCTCGCATCGACAATCATCCCGCCATTTTCGCACATCGCACCCCGACCCCACGGCTCGGCTAGTAACCCGCGCTCCGGGCCTCCGCTTCGACACTCTCCCAACCTCAGTCCCAGGCTCGTCGCACGACAACCACAGTCCATTACCGTTACCACTGTAGTTTCGCTATATATTCTTCGCTCATGCCTTCGCTCATTGTATTCTTGCTTCGATAGTGCAATTCTCGTTCGTTCACTCAATTGCACTAGTAACATGTATCATATTTCTCTAAGTAGCTTTTCTCTGATGCTTTCCTCTATTGTTATCTCAATGTCTGGTATGTTGACACAGCATTGGAAGTATCCTGACGCAACCTTCCAGGTGGCACAATCCCGGTCGCCAAGAAGATGTTCTACCGTCCAGCGCAGACCTGGGCGATGGATTCTTCCATAAGCTCAACACCTGATTGGCCAGCACTACTCGAAAATGCCCTCGTCATACCCCTCCATCTAAAGTCCCTTCATCAAAATACCTTTAACCGTCTTATAACGTCGTCAACCGTTTTTTCACCACTTCCGCACAACCCTTGTTCTTCTGCTCCCCCATGCTCTTTCTTCGCGGAACAAAGCTCGAATTTGCTAGAAAATCAGCTGTCGCTGGCTTGTCATCAGATTATTACGTGTACTTCCTTCCTGCTTCGCGCTGGGAATCGTGTTTGTCATTCTTCACGTACCCCGAATATATATCGCCTTCTCTCTGCTCCAGATTTGCTTCGACTGCGCGGTCTTCCAAAAATGGCCGGCCTACTTTCCTCATCCATGCAGGGAGCTCTCCTGAAGCTGCCTGCAGCAGCTCCCATCTCCGCTCCCCCATCTCGCACACTCACCGCCGTAGTCGCTCACACCGGCGCATTTCCCTCGAGGAGACAGACGGCATCCAGCAAAAGACCATTGTCAACGCCGATGCGCGCGTCGGAGCTGACGGCGATCGACACGTTTACGGCAGAACTGGACGAGCTGGAGGGAATGATTGACGGAGAGTACGAGGAGGTTCCGGTGCACACGGTGACGGTGCACGACCGGGAACGAGGAGTCACGTATACGGTCGACGTGCCTCAGGTAAGACTCGATGACGCGTAGTAGGACATGATCATGGATGTATGGAAAAATATGCAGGTTACTGATTGGGTCATCCGCTGGATGTTGTAAACTGGAGTGAAAAACGAACTAGCGAGAACCTTCATCCCATTGTGCCTATAGCTTGACCTAGGTCCCTCGGGCGTTGGTTATGTTTTTACGCGGCAAAGGCAGCAGGTTGGTTAGCAGACGCCCGCAAATAAGCACGTTCACTATTCGGTGTTGATAATGTTCAATGACAGCGATGACAACATTGAATCGATATCTCTATCATTCTCAGTAACATGAGATGGCATCTTGAATACCAGCCAGCTCACGCGTTTCGTACGAAACTAGTCGATACGTGGCGTAAGTATTGTATCCATTAAGCTGCTTCTTGGGGCCAACAGCGGAATAATGCACTGCTGAAACTGCCTCAACGCTCTGAGCTCTCTACCAGTGTGCTCTCGACTGTCAGATTCCACCCTACCCCTCGTTTAACGTTTTCACCTACCTTGGTCCCTTCAATGCCTTTCTTCATGATGCAGGATCAATACATTCTTCAAACCGCGGAGGAGGAAGGCATTAAGCTTCCTTTCGCATGCCGGCATGGCTGCTGCACAGCCTGCGCTGTCCGGGTGATTTCAGGCGAGCTGGTTCAACCACGCGCGCTCGGTATTTCGCAAGAGCTCAAGGAAAAGGGTTATGCACTGCTGTGTGTGGGGATTCCCCTTTCTGACCTTGAGGTGGAGACACAGGACGAGGATGAAGTGTACTGGCAGCAGTTTGGCAAGTATTTTGCACGAGGTCCTATCGAGCGCGATGATTATGCTCTGGAGCTTGCAATGCAAGACGAGTAATGGATAGATTCGGATGTAGTCCTCTGGTTTAGAACAATACGATTCTCTGTTGCCCTAGTCAAAGATAGGGTCATTTTCGCAGGTTGATGATGGGAGTGCACAAGTCACCAACACCAAGACATGGATCATGTGATCCTCTGGTGGATGCAACACGAATGTCAGTCCCATTCTCCAAATGCAGTTTTGTTGTACATGTATCGTTTTGTCATGCATGCTGAGCCCTTTGACAGTAAAATAGATTTAGTTATTGGGATTTCCCAGAAGTCAGCCTCTGTAAGCTTGTTCGGCTTCAACGGAATGCTAATCAGAGTTAGCTTGTTCTTTCTTAATTTTGATGTTTATCATTGTCTGGAACTAACATTTTTCAATCAGAACAATGAACCAATAACGTGTAAGAAAATGAAGCTTTTGCACCGCTCGAAAAAATAAAAGAGCCGTGATGTATTCCTCACATTCTTCACATCGAGTAACGCATCACACAACAATCTGAGTCGAATTCGGCATGGCTCTGCCGTCCCACAGCTCCACACTACCACAGAAAAAACATCTCTCATTCATGACGCTGGCGTTTTTTGTTATGCGTGATACTGACCAATACATGCGGTGTTGACGCATCACACGCGCTGGACATTCCTCAGAGTTTCTAATGTTTCTTTCATCACAGGCTCCCATCCCATCCTACGATGATTGTTATTGTTTTCATTGCATAGCGGCGTTCCTTTCCAGAAGTCGAGGCGAAGGAAAGGAAACGTTTTCTCCTCTTTCCTACGCTTCAAAAATACAAGCATGGTGCAGCTAGGAGTTCCCTCTCGTTATAATCACCTGACCTACAGCCATGTCCTCGCTATAATCCCAAGAGCTGCTGATCACCCCGTCTCCTTCCCCTCGCAACAATCCATGAATGCTTCATCCTACTATTCTTCAAATATCCGCATTCTAAAAGTTAGCCACACAACGCGGCATTTCAGGCGCTCCTGCTGTTTCGAGGCCGCCATTCCCACGGCTGCTGTAAATACAGATGCGGATTCGAAGGGAGATTCATCCCAACAAAAGTTCGCGGAAAGGCCCCTCTTGAGAAATGCGATCATAGTGGGCGGCGGGATTGCCGGTCTGACGGCAGCCATTGCTCTTCGCCGGCAGGGAGTTGACGTTCAGGTTGGTGCCTTACTGACTGTTAAACAGTTTCTTTCACTGCAAGGCGAGGTGACAAAGAGCTTCCCCCCCTCACCTGCTGCCTTACAGCTTCGCTCCCCGCGCCAGGTTGTTGCTCTTCGCGGATGTTGCTCCCCGCGCCACGTGAACAAGAAAGGGTCTACGATTCCGGTGTTTCCCAAGCATGGCAGGTGTACAAAGGTTGCGTTTGCGAGGTCTGATGTTCCGTGTTCCCCTGCGTGGCAGGTGTATGAGAAGGCGGAGGGGCGTGACCCCGAGAGGGTGGGGCGCATGGTGGGAATTCAGCCCAATGGGCTGGCCGCGCTGCGATGCATCGATCCCACCATTGCTGATGCTGTAAGAGATGACTTATAAGGAGAATCTCGGGTCTTTGGTTTTCGCTGTACTGTGGGGATAAAACCCAACGGGCTGGCGGCAGTGAGATGCATGTATCGACCTCGCCATTGCTGATGCTGTAAGATGTTACTCTTCAGTCTACTCTAAAGGACCGTCTTGGGGTCTGGGTTATATGTTGACTCACAAGGCGTGCCGTGTCGTGTGTATTGGCGTCACTTTTGAGAAATCTCAAAAGTGCCGCCATTGCTGTTGCTGTAACAGATGACCATTGCGTCGACTTACAAGGCTTACCACCTCGCCCCGTCCCGTCAGGCGAGGTGCTTCTGGAGGCCACTTCCCTTCTCACCTCACCTTCCCCCCTCCCCCTATGCCCCACTCCCCACGGCTGTCGTCGCAAGGCGCGCATCAGGATCAGGCGAGGTGCTACCGGAGGCCACTTCCCTTCTCATCTTCCCCCCTCTCACTCCCTTCCCCCTTACCTGCATATTTCATTCCAAGGAGCGCATGTGCCCAGCCTATGGGAGCTCGCCCCATCCAGCAACTTCCCTCCACCCGCCCCCCACCCCCTTCCTCGTAGTTCCCATCGCAAGGCGCGCATGTGCCCAGCCTGTGGCAACTCTCCCCATCGGGCGAGGTGCTGCTGGAGGCCATGGCGCCGGCTGACGGCCGCTTCTCCATCCGCTGGGGGCTCGCTCTCGAAGTGCTGCAGAGCTTCTTGCCTGCCTCGTGTGTGCACCAGGGCTGCGAGTTCACCGGGCACGTGGAGCAGGTGCGTGCCTGTGTTTTAACGAATCACAACCTCGTCACTAGCACGGAATCACGTTTTAACGAATCACAACCTCGTCACTAGCATACACGATCAAATCAAGGTGTTGTTCGAGAATTGAGAGAGTCAATCTCGAGAGCATTTGGTGAGTTGATCTGCAGTAATTCGGTCACCCCTCATTTTTTGCATCGTATGGTGGCCCCACGATAATTTTCCGGACCGTTGAACCACGCCGCATTTGACGGGAGCCCGAGACTGAAAGTTATCCGACAATTGTATCTTCGAAGTTGTGTCATAAAGCAAAGCAGACATCACAACCACATAAGTAGACTTACGTGAGCCTAAATCTTCTCAGAGTAAGAGACTCCACAATGGATTCAGCAGGAGAGCACACCGGATCGTTTTCTCCTTGTGGGTTTGAAGACGAATAGAGCCTTCGGCGGGAGAAGCTGAATGTCGTAGAGGAGGTTCACTTTCAGGATACAATGAGGAGAATCTCGGAAGTTCAATTAAACTGAGGGAAAGCGAGATGAAGGTTAAGCGCGCGAGAGAGAATGTGATCTTCAAGGAGCACGAAACGACCAAGTTACGAGGCATGGTCCAGGACCTTTCTCTACCACACTATGACAAGAAAGCATTGAGTCGCTTAGTGCCCGCACGTGGACCAGGTGGGTTTAAAGTCGCCTAGAGAATGCTGCAGGTGCTTCAGAGCGCTTAGTGCCCTGCTAGAGAGCTGCAGGCCCCCTCTTCCTCTCCCTTGCCCCTCACTCGTCCTCTCATCCAACCCTCTCTGTTCCTCTCACTTGCTCCACTCTCTTAGTCTCCCTCGCCCCTCCTCTCTCCTCTCATTCGCCCTTGTCTCTGATTTGTTTGCCTGGTGTGCTTTGCTCCCCATCCCCATGTTCACTCACTCACTCTGCCAGGCCAAAGTTTGAGGCACCTCAAAACTCCTCTCTCCTCTTGCCCTTGCCTCTGGTTTGTTTGTCTGGTGCGCTTTGCTCCCCGTCCCCATGCTCACTCACTCTGCCAGGCCAATGGGCACGTGACGGCCCACTTCACTCGCCACGAGCAGCCTCTCAGTGCAGAGGTAAGCAGGGCCGCTCGAGCTTCGCACAGAACTGCATGGTGGCACGTAATATAGGGGGTGTATGATGTAAGCAGCACGTTGCATAAGCGATGCGTTACATGAGCTGTGCGTTACATGAACTATGCGTTACATGAGCTGTGCGTTACATGAGCTGCGCGTTACATGAGCTGTGCGTTACATGAGCTTTGCGTTACATGAGCTGTGCGTTACATGATCTGTGCGTTACATGAGCTGTGTGTTACATGAGCTGTGCATTACATGAGCTCCGCATTACATGAGCTGTGCATTACATGAGCTGCGCGTTACATGAGCTGTGCGTTACATGAGCTGTGCATTACATGAGCTGTGCGTTACATGAGCTGTGCGTTACATGAGCTGCACGTCACATGAGCTGCGCGTTACATGAGATGCGGGTTACATGAGCTGCGCGTTACATGAGCTGTGTGTTACATGAGCTGTGCGTTACATGAGCTGTGCGTTACATGAGCTGTGCGTTACATGAGCTGTGCGTTACATGAGCTGCACGTTACATGAGCTGCACGTTACATGAGCTGTGCGTTACATGAGCTGTGCATTACATGAGCTGCACGTTACATGAGCTGTGCATTACATGAGCTGTGCGTTGCATGAGCTGTGCGTTACATGAGCTGTGCGTTACATGAGTTGTGCGTTACATGAGCGGATCTGCTGGTGGGGTGCGGACAGGCCGCCTGCTAGTGACCTCTAAAGCCTGCTTGGCTTAGAGACTCTGACGTGATGTGAACTCAAGAGCCTGCCCCTCCTGCCTCTCTGTCACTCTGTGTTGCAGGCGGACCTCCTGATGGGCACGGACGGGGTGCGGGCGGCAGTGAGGCAGCATGTGTTGAAGGAGGTGAACTAAAGCGTCTGCTAATGTTGCATGTCTGAGTTTTGGTGCGTTCATCTGTGCTTCGTGTCGCAGGCGGATCTGCTGATGGGCACGGATGGGGTGCCACTGACTGCTCAAGCCTGCAAGCGTACTGGCTGCGGACCAACGAGATTGTCGTTCCTATCTATCTCCCTCTATGCCTCAGGCGGATTTGCTGATTGGCACGAACGGGGTGCGATCGGCTGTGAGACAGCATGTGTTGAGGGAGGGCGAGGAGAGGGAGCGGTGGGGCCCGCCGCAGGATGACGGCCGCACCATGTGGCTCGGAGCTGCTCCCCGCGAGACTGTGAGCTTCGAGGTGTGAATGAGATCGTGCGGCTGTGAGCTTTGAGGTGTGAATGAGATTGTGCGGCTGTGAGCTTTGAGGTGTGAATGAGATCGTGCGGCTGTGAGCTTTGAGGTGCGGCTGTGAGCTTCGACGTGCGTGCGCTCATAGCTTGATTCACAACACGGGTTGCTGTGGGTCAAACAGGAGAACACTGGCTGCAGCCTGGAACTGGCTTGGTCCCCGTGAATCTGTGAGCTTCGAGGTGCAATTGCCTTGTCCTTAGGGAAATTCAGAAGCCCGCTGGGTGCCGTTGACTTGTTTTTTTCCCTTGCACAACGATGTTTGGAATGTGATTGTGTGTCTCGTTTAACCTCTCTAACACGGTAACATGGTTGCTGTTCCCACCCACCCACCCACCCACGCCCCCTCCCTCCCTCCCTCGCTCCCTCCCTCCCTCCCTCCCTACCTCCCTCTCGCCCTCCCTCCCTCCCTCCCTCCCTCCCTAATTCCCTCCCTCCCTCGCTCCCTCCCTCCCTCCCTTGCTCCCTTCCTCCCCACCTCCACCACTCGCGCCCCTACCGCACGTGCTTCACGAGGGGCGGCGGGAGGACGGCCGCAGTGGGGGACCTCGGTGGGGCGGAGATTTTTGTCCTGTTTGTGTGTGCGGACGAGCAGGGGAGGGGGATGACACAGCAGCGTTCAGCGAATGGGGAGGAAGTGCGGGGGAAGATCAGGGCGCTTTTTGCCGACTGGCCTGCATACAAGGATGTTATTGAGGTGGGCAGGGGGGAGTTATCAAGGTGAGTGGACGCGTTTTCTTAGTTGACTCGGACTAGAGGAGGTGCGGGGGAAGCTGAGGGCGCTCTTTGACGACTGGCCTGCATACAAGGATGTTATTGAGGTGGGCGGGGGGGAGTTATCGAGGTGAGTGGATGCGTTTTCTTAGTTGACTCGGACTAGAGGAGGTGCGGGGGAAGCTGAGGGCGCTCTTTGACGACTGGCCTGCATACAAGGATGTTATTGAGGTGGGCGGGGGGGAGTTATCGAGGTGAGTGGATGCGTTTTCTTAGTTGACTCGGACTAGAGGAGGTGCGGGGGAAGCTGAGGGCGCTCTTTGCCGACTGGCCTGCATACAAGGACGTGATCGAGGTGTGTGGGTGGGTGGGTAGGTGGGTGGGTCGGTGGGAGGGTGGGTGCTTCGTTTCTGCTCGAACAAATGAAAGGAGGCGGGCGAGGGGAGATGAAGACTTGTTTTTCAAGCACAAGGTTCTGGACGTCCCTCGGCTTTCCCAACCCGTCCCTCCGCTTCCCAGGTGGTTACTGGCACGCCTCAGACGAAACCCTTCCCCAACCCCTCCCTCGCCCTACAACCAGGCTGTCCCCCCTGATCTGTTTCTGGAGCGCCGGGTGCTGGACGTGCCTCCTCTCTCCTGCCTGCCAGCCTCACACATCCCAACACCTCCCTCCCCAACCCCTCCCTCCCCCTGCAACCAGGCTGCCCCCCCCGACCTGTATTTGGAGCGCCGAGTACTGGACGTGCCTCCACTTCCCCGCTGGCGCAACGGCCGTATCCTCATCATCGGAGGTGCTCTCTCTCCCTTGCTGCGCCCCAACCTCGTTCCTGCCTCTTAACCTCTTGCACTCTTGCACACTTGCACTCTTGCCCTCTTAACCTCTTGCACTCTTGCCCTCTTGCCCTCTTGCGCTCTTGACGTCGTGACCTCTTGCCCTCTTAACCTCTTGCCCTCTTGCCCTCGTGCCCTCGTGCCCCATGGCTACTTCAAAACTCCTTGTATGCCCTGCCTGCTCTCACGTGCCTTGCTCTCACGTGCCCTGCTCTCACGTGCCCTGCTCTCACGTGTCCTGCTCTCATGTGCCTTGCTCTCACGTGCCCTGCTTTCACATGCCCTGCTCTCACGTGCCTTGCTCTCACGTGCCCTGCTCTCATGTGCCCTGCTCTCATGTGCCCTGCTCTCACGTGTCCTGCTCTCATGTGCCCTGCTCTCATGTGCCTTGCTCTCACGTGCCCTGCTCTTACGTGCCCTGCTCTCACGTGCCCTGCTCTCACGTGCCTTGCTCTCACGTGCCCTGCTCAAATGAAGTTCTGGCTGCCTGCAATCAAAGTGCTCTAGATGGGCTTTTCCGTCTCTGCTTCTCGGTCTTTTTTTTATCGTATAATCAGCTAATTATCTACCTTTCCAATCATTGTCTGCAGCCTCGGGGACTGAGATACCGTTCAAATTCACCCACCCACCTCTCTCACATGCTGTCCCCATCACGCCGTCATCTGCATCTTCTCATCATGCCGTCCAGATGCAGCGCATGCAGTGCCACCCACATCTCCCCCCATATTCCCTCCATCTTTCTCGCATGCTCCCATCAAATGCAGCTTCCCCATCATGCCGACCAGATGCAGCGCATGCGGTGCCGCCCACATCTCCCCCCATATTCCCTCCATCTTTCTCACATGCTCCCATCAAATGCATCTTCCCCATCGTGCCGTCTAGATGCAGCGCATGCGGTGCCGCCCACGCTAGGCCAGGGCAGCAGCCTGGCAGTAGAGGATGCACTGGAGCTCGCACGACAAGTGGTTGCCGACCATCCCTCTCTCGAGTGCGTGGTGTAGTGCACCTTGTTAGTCAGTACAGTTCGTTTCCTGCTTGCTGTTTGGTGAATGTGTCCAATGAGGGCAGCAGCCTGGCAATTGAAGATGCGCTAGAGCTCCCACGGCAAGTGGTTGCGGATCATCCCTCCTTCGAGTGAGTGGCATAGTGCACCGCTGCTAGATAGCACTGTTTGTTGCCGCGTGCTCTGTTTAGCACTCTGTGCGATGAGGGCAGCAGCCTGGCAATTGAAGATGCGCTAGAGCTCGCACGGCAAGTGGTTGCGGATCATCCCTCCCTCGAGTGCGTGGTGTGGTGTGCACCATTGTTAGCTAGTACTGTTTGCTTCCTTCTTGCTCTCTGATGACTCCATCCAGTGAGGCCAGCAGTGTGGCAAGCAATGGACGATGACTTTTGAGTTGATTCAAAACGAGGTGACTTTTGAGTCGACTCAAAACGAGGTGACTTTTGAGTCAACTCAAAAGTCTTCTTGCTCTCTGATGACTCTATACAGTGAGACCAACAGTGCAGCAAGCAATGGAGGATGCGCTGAAGCTCGCGGTCTATCCCTTCGAGGCGAGAGGGCACCATGGTGTTTTTTTATTATTATTTTGGTGCCGACTACTTCTTAGGTGCCTCACAACCCACCCACTCTCTCGACCCTCCTCGCCTGGCAAGGCAGCACTAGATGCATTTAAGGCGGAAAGGGCACCGTGGGTGTCGTGGCAGACTGCCTTTGAGGGTACTGCTTTAGAGGATAGAGGATTGAAGATAGATTAATGCACAGCACAGGCGCCTCTAAACCCACCCATTCTCTTCTTCTGCACCTCCTCACCTGACAGGGACGAATTTGAGGCGGAGTGGGCACCGCGGGTGGAGGGCTGCTTCTGAGGTGAACTTCTTGTGTGGTGCCTCACAACCCAACCCACCTACTCTCTCGTATATTAGTGCGACTTTTGAGAATTCTCAAAAGTCGCACTAATATACCGGACTTCTTGTGTGGTGCCTCACAACCCAGCCCACCTACTCTCTCGCCCTTCTTGACCTGGCAGGGTTGCACTTGATGCCTTTGAGGCGGAGAGGGCACCGCGGGTGGCGTGGGTGGCAGAGGCGAGTGTGGCAGTCGCAGGGCAGGCATACAAGGGAGAGAGGGACCCCAATGTCCCAGCGGAAGGGTCTGTTAATCCCGATGCTGCTCTCGGCCGTGATCAAAGCACTCGTGCGAGCAGCAGTGCCAGTGGTGGCAACAGCAGCAGTACTGGCAGTGGTGCGAGTGGGAGCGGCAATGACGGGAGTCAAGCTACGGATCCGGTACATAAATTGTACAGTTATGAGCGCCTCAACCCACCCCTAGTACGAAATGAGTCTCAAGTGTGCTGGAATGCGCTGAAGTATGCCAGCACATTGAAATGAAGTGCGTGTGATTGTTGGAATGTGGTGTCATTCGACTAATGTGTGTTTTTTGTTGGTAGTGGTGAAGTACCACCTCTGACGCCCATTGTATTGTGCCACATAGGATATCTCGTCGAATGTTGATTTGATCACATTTGTGCTATTATTTTGCTCACTCACTTTCTATTACGGCTCTATATTATGGTCTCGTACAGCTACAGGAACCAAACATTGATACGCACTGAGGTAGAGGGGGGAGCTCGGTGGGTGGAGGCTCCGTATTGGTGGTTGCACGGGTTTGAGGTGCGCTAGAGTGTTCGGGTTGAGCTGAGGGGTGTGAGGGGTTCGGAGTCAGGTGGGGTTATCAGTCTGAAGCCATGCTGTAATTTCTGGGTTAGCTTCATTCCTTAAAACGGTGGCAAAACATGAAAACAAATGTTAAGGTTGCTACGCAACCCAAAAATGTGGCATACCATGTTTGGGCATAGTAAGCAGATTATTGTTATTTTAGAAAACCAAGTTTCATGGTTGAGCACGCCTCATCTCGCGTATTTGTTGAATAGGCTTCACTAGCATTTTAAGAAACTTCTGATACATCAGACAGAAAAAATCACGCCATCTGACCCATCAGGTAGGTTCAAAACCTAGGGATGACCGTGACACCTGAATCTCTCATTGTCCTAGATAGAAAGAGGAAAAGAAGGGAAAGAAAGACATGAATGAAGGAGAAAGGAAATGAAGATAGAAAGGGTCAATCCTCGCACACTCGCTCAATTGCACTCGTCTCAGCAGCAATTTTTTAGCACCAATGTTTGATAGCGCAAGGTGTAAGGAAAATCCCTTTTCCTTACTTCGCATCCCTGCTCAACGCGTACATCACTGTAGCACCTCAGTCAGCACCGTTACCACTCGCGATCATCGCATCGACAATCATCCCGCCATTTTCGCACATCGCATCCCGACCTCACGGCTCGGCTGGTAACCCGCGCTCCGGGCCTACGCTTTGACACTTTCCCAACCTCAGTCCCAGGCTTGTCGCGCGACTACCACAGACCATTACCGTTACCACTGTAGTTTCGCTATATATTCTTCACTCATGCCCTCGCTCATTGTATTCTTGCTTCGATAGTGCAATTCTCATTCGTTCACTCAATTGCACTCGTAACACTTGGTATTCAGAGCCTACGATCTCATCTCGGACCGCATCCACACCTTCGCTTCCCCACTATCTCAAATTTTTGGGGGGGGTAGACGTCTCTCAGCGATACAGCACCGCCGTTCGTAGTGCTCTCTCGCAAGCACGCACGGCCACGACCGAGGCTCTCGCTGAGCTTGCTCGACACCCCCGCCATGGCCGATTTCACGCTCGCCACATTAACGCAGGAACAACTTGATCGTCTCGTGCGTCAACTGGAAGATTCAGCGATCGAAATCGCGACGCTCACGGCGGAACGTGACTCCGCCCGTCAACAGTCCACGGTGAACGTTCCGGCGACATCACACACACCAAAAAATGTATCTGCACATTCGGATGAGCCGATCGTCATCTCGTCCGGCATACCAACACAACACGACAGCATGGGACAGCGCTCAGGCGCAGCCAGTAATGGCGCCGCCCAGCCGATGCCTGGCATGGGAGGAAACAGGATCGCACCAAGCCCGCGGGAGCCCCGAGAAGCCCGTCGGCACGTGGAATTTGCGGCGACAAGTGGTGAACAAGCCATCATGGCACCAATGCCGCTCAAGCCGCAACGCCCGCCCTGCTTCAACCCAAGCCAACGCGGCGGTCCGACGGCTCAATCGTGGGTCTTCACGATGAACGTCTTCTTCGACGCAAATTACGTCGAGTCGGACGCCGCAAAGATCCGGTATGCAGTTTCACTGCTAAGGGGCCCCGCTATGGACTGGTGGCGAGTCACCGTTTAAGGGGCGCTGCTTTGCTTGCAACAGGCCGGGCCATTGCAAGAGCGAATGCCCAGAGGAGGTGAGGCGCCAAGGAGCAGAGCAGGGGAGGGAGTCTCAGAGGCAGGGAAACGCCAGCAGTCAGTAGAAGTTGGGCCAAATACTGACGAGACTGCCTGCTCGCCCAACCACACCGACCCTCACCGAGTCACAGTACCGATTCACGCCATCGATCGGGCTCAGATGAATAAGGAGGGTACAGCAACGGATTGCCCGGCACTGATCTACGGGAAAATACATGGAGCAACAGTGAAGATTTTTATAGACGGAGGAGCAAGTCACGGCTTAGTTAATACCGCAACCGCACGGAAATTACAGTTAACACTTAACCGATGCTTACCTGAGATAGATGCACGCTTAGTCCACGGAACGCCACTAGCCATATGAGAAAAGGTGGAGCGAGTAAAAGTCCGCTGCGGAGGGAACTTCGGGTTTACACAGGAAATGCTCGCAACGACACTGGATGGGCACGACATTTTACTGGGACGTGATTGGCTGCGACGGTATAACCCGCAAATTGACTGGACGACGGGTAGCTGCACAGTGCGAAGTAGTGGTAACTGGGTCGTCCTACCTCGGTGGCAGCCACCCGAGTCTTCGACGGTCCAGGTCAACGCCATCACGATGAAACGGGCTGTCGCTGCTGGAGCTGACGTGTACGCAGTGGATATAGCATTAGTGGGAGAAGAGGAGCAGCCGAGCGATTTTGAGAAACTGTTGGCAGCTGTACCACCCGAACTTTAGGCACTACCAAAATCCCTTTTCCTTACTTCGCATCCCTGCTCAACGCGTACATCACTGTAGCACCTCAGTCAGCACCGTTACCACTCGCGATCATCGCATCGACAATCATCCCGCCATTTTCGCACATCGCATCCCGACCTCACGGCTCGGCTGGTAACCCGCGCTCCGGGCATACGCTTCGACACTTTCCCAACCTCAGCCCCAGGCTCGTCGCGCGGCTACCACAGACCATTACCGTTACCACTGTAGTTTAGCTATATATTCTTTGCTCATGCCCTCGTTCATTGTATTCTTGCTTCGATAGTGCAATTCTCGTTCGTTCACTCAATTGCACTCGTAACACAAGGCAACCCATCTTTAGTGTCACGTGATCTTGACGTCGCACATGCCGTCCTATTCGTTGGTGCCACTGATCTTGACGTCGCTTTATGGGTTGGCAGGCGGCGGGGCGACCCGTCGTTGTGAAGTGTCGTGACATTTTTAGTCACACACACGTGTTGATCGAAGCGATCAGGTAACCATCATCGCGAAACCTTGCCATGACGACATCCGATGCAAGTTGATTACCTCACTGCCAAAACTTCCCGAAGGGAAAGACGGCGACAGCGACGAGTGACAATATCAGCGTACTCTTCTAGCACGAACTGACGAAAGTACCTCAGCATCGCTTGTGCGTAAATTTGCAGGGATCTCGTGGTTGCCGCAGGGGATTAGGTAGGGGCTAATTTTGTTTGAACGATGCGCGAATCGAGATTCGCGGCGCGGCGCTTGTTCGTGTCAAGAACCGAGCTAAGGGCAAAAGTGGGCCTGCTCTGCTTTCCTCTCAGTGCATGTGCCTGCAAAATCTCTCATATATATATATAGATATATATATAAGTTGATGGTGCTGTTGTTTTCTTATCAACGCAGTTTTCATCCATTTTCATCGCCGACGCTCCCGAATCAGTCTGACCGGACAGCCTTTAATATAGATTACTTCGATGGGTAGTACTAGGAGTATCTTTGCGCTCTTGTGCACCGTGACCGTGGCTCTGCTGTTTCTCCTTCCGCCCAGTGCCCATGCGGAGCTGACGGGCACAGATGGCGTCGTAGCGAAGTCCGCCGGGTCGATGGGAGCCACCACACGGCCGAGAAGCATCTCTGAAGGTACACCTTTCGTGTAGGCCGCCGTGTATTACACGCTCTTTCGCCCACCCACTGGCAGTAGTGTCGCACTAACTCCGCATCCTTTCCCGCTTTTTTCAATCTCCAGGCCCATAGTTTGTCCATGCTTTCCGTTTTTCCTTTCATGATTCTGAGCCGTTTTCACCGGGGCTTCTTGATTCCACCTTTTGCAGTAGGCCAAGCAAAGCTTCGCGGGCGTCGCTTGGGCCGCCATCACGACGACGACGACGACGACGACGATGACGACTTAGACTGCAAGGACGACGACGACGACGACGACGACGACAAGTACGACAAGAAGTACGACGACAAGAAGTACGACGACAAGAAGTACGACGACAAGAAGTACGACGACAAGAAGTACGACGACAAGAAGTACGACGACAATCACGGCGACAACAAATACGACGACAATCACGGGGACAACAATTACAACAACAAGTACAGCGGCAATCACGGCGACAACAATTACAACAACAACTACAACGACAATCACTACGACAACAAATACGACAGCAAGTATGAGAAGATGAGCTGCTCCGAGAAGTACAAGATGCGCTCCGATAAGTGCAGCCACAAGCGCGAGCGATGCGGTGGGGACGAGTACTGCGGCGCGACGAACGACGCATGCGAGAGGAGGGCGTACTTGCTGTACGATAAGTGCAAGCGCGGCAAGTGGACGTGCGAGAACTGGTGCGACTATAACAGACTCAAGTGCGTGGAAGACTACCACAAGAGCAGCAGCACTTGTCAGGGTCGCGTCGAGTATTGCTACGACAAGTGCAAGGGCAACGACAACTATCACAAGGATTATAACCACAGTGACAACAAGTATGATGATCACCACGACAGCAAGTACAACAAGAAATACGATGATGACCACCATGACGATGACGATCACCATGATGACGACGATCATCACGATGATGATGATCATCATAATGATGATGATCACCACAACAAGTACTACAACAATCATGGCAAGTACTAGATCTAGCATGTTTCTTTTAGTTAGGAGCTGAAGAAAGTGCTGGGTAGGTTAACTGCTTGTTGCTGACTGCTGAAGTGGGTGCCTTGTTTGCTGGTTGTCATGTTGATATGCTAGTAAAGGGAGTGGTGGGGGTCCTAGAGCCTACCTAGCTGTATGCACTGCATGTTTCTTTTCTGATAATTTCAAGCGAATTTCACAAGGACAATATGAGGGCTACTCTAATCTTGATCCGTCTTTCATTTCCACCATCTGCCACTGACTTCTAGTAGGTTTGCAATGCCTGTTTATAAATCTTTATCAGTTGAAGTTAGAATAATAGATGTATTAGTATTAAATATCGACGTATTTGTCGTTTCACCCAAGGCCGCTCCGTTCACATGCACATGCTCTCGACACAGTATCAAACCGCGCAACCCTAGGCAGGTCGAAGTATTGATGGGGATCTCAAGTGGTCGCGATTCTTGGCAGACCGTCGTTTGTCGCCGCACTGTCTCGTCATCCAGTGAAAGTGAGCTAACAGAGCTACCAGTAATCACGAAACATCTCGCATTGTTGATTTCGCAAGGCGATTTTTCTTATTGGTGTGCGTGAATGAGAGGCGACTCGATCCTGGGGGGCCAGTGATGGCTAGGGGGGATTTCATGATTCATCACGGCTGCAACCATATACTGTACCCATCCTTCTCGCGACGCGGCTCTTTCTCTTAGGCACCCGCACTTGCACAAGCCCTGTTGCCTTCCCCCCCAGCCCAAGCCACCCCCCCAACCTCAACCACTCCCACTTGTTTCATCGCCTCGCCTTCTTTCCTATAAAGCCCAACTCACGCAGGTTTTTTTTCTATAATCCATATTGATTTCACATATCGACCGATAGAGCTCCCATAATCGACTGCCTTTGTTCCGTCTAGCTGCTGCCATGGAAGGGAAGAAGTTAGTTGCGTTCCTGTGCGTGGTTACCGTAGGTCTCCTCGTCCTCCTTCCACTTACAGTTCATGCGGATGTGGCGGGTTCTACGACACTGGCAAAGACCCAACAGCCGACCGAAGGCGCTGAAGGTTTGTATTCTTCGACATTCTCGGAAATTTTACGCCCATTGTTACTATCTCTGCTTCCTACCTGACGTCTCCTGGTGAACGTCAGTGCTATTAAATTCGGCCGAAGCCCTTAAGCCCACTTCCTCGCGTCGCTCCTGATCTGCTTCCTCTCCCGATCCGCAGAGTCCAGGACGATGTTCCGGCGACGACTGAGCGACGACGACGACGACGACGACGACGACGATCTTGATTGCGAAGACGACGACGACCACAAGCCGCCCAAGCCCAGCCCGTCGCCGCCGCCGCCGCCCCCCCGCCGCCCAAGAAGGAGAAGAAGAAGCTGACGTGTCTGGAAAAGTACAGGCTTCGCTCCGACAAATGCAACTTCAAGCACGAGTGGTGCAAGCGGGAGTGTGAGGACGAAGAAGAAAAGGCCATCTGCAACGTTGCCGACGACTCGTGCGAAAGAAAGGCGTACATGCTGTATAAGAAGTGCAAGTACGGCAAGTGGACGTGCAAAGATTGGTGTGCTTATAACAAGATGCGCTGTATGGAGGATGATCGGTTGAGCTCGACGACGTGCAAGGAGCGCGCCGATTATTGCTACGAGAAGTGCGACCCAAAGCCAATTCAGAAGGACGAAAAGCACGACGATGACGACGATCACCACCACCATGGCGACGATGACGACGATAACTAGATCCAGCATGCGTATTTCGACAGAATTGGTAGCTACTCGACTCACTGTTCGCGAATGACTCTCGCGAAGGCTAACTGATTTTTGCTGACGCTAGGGAAACCGTCCGCATGGCTGAGATGCTTAATATGCTGTCTTAATTGTTAATATTGGCTCGATAACGGGGAGCCCTTGTCATAAACTATCGTACCAGAGTATATGCGTGGCTGAATGGCACGTTTCAGGCATGGCACTGGTCTGCCACCATCTTAGCCAATTCTGTTGACCATCAAGACGGGAACCGTAGTGGCAAGGCTATCACCCATTGCGATAGCCACACGCCTAAGAGACATGCTGGGCAGCCCCCCCTACCCTCATAAGATGGTCTATACCTTCATCCTGCAATTTCCATCATTGCAGATGCAGGTTTTTTTTGCAAGCCTGCGTATAAAATGATTGTTGTTGAGAAAGTGTGCTAGCAACAGGTGAGTTGTTCCCCACACCAAATGAATTATTTCACTGCACTGGGCGTTACCGGTAGAATGGAGTTAAAGCTCCGGTATACATTATACTAACCCCCCCACCCCACCCTAAGGAGGGCCTCCTTACGAAAGCGCGTGTACATCCCTGAAGTTTTGGCCGCGTAGATACTCGGTGAGGACGGGGTGTCAAATTATAATATTGTGTAGGCTATAGTGGGGTAGCCTATATGGGGTACACATTTCTAGGGTTGCCTATTTGTATCACTTCCATTCCTTAGTCATTCATCCTCGTTCTACTTTCCTCATGGTATCGAGCAGGTTCCCCCTTGGGAACTGTGCCTAGGGCCCACCACATCGAGTTTCATTTTTTTTTTTCTCTCCTGCCCGAAACGCGCTCAGCCCGAGTCGCGCTCCGGGCTCTCACCTCGCCGAGCCGCCCTAGCGGCCCCCTACGCCCTAGCGGCCCCTTTCCCTAGCGGCCCCGCCGCCCTTCGTTTCGGCCCCGACGCCCTTTAGTGCGGCCCCGTCGCCCGTCACAGCGGCCCCGTCGCCCCGCATCGCGGCCCCGCCGCCCGTCTCCGCGGCCTCACCGCCCGTCGCCCCGCATCGCGGCCCCGCCCCTACTCAGCGGCCCCGCCGCCCTTCTCCTCAGCGGCCCCGCCGCCCTACTCAGCGGCCCCGCCGCCCTTCTCCTCAGCGGCCCCGCCGCCCTGCTCAGCGGCCCCGCCGCCCTTCTCCTCAGCGGCCCCGCTGCCCTATTCAGCGGCCCCGCCGCCCTTCTCCTCAGCGGCCCCGCCGCCCTACTCAGCGGCCCCGCCGCCCTTCTCCTCAGCGGCCCCGCCACCCTACTCAGTGGCCCCGCCGCCCTTCTCCTCAGCGGCTCCGCCGCCCTTCTCCTCAGCGGCCCCGCCGCCCTACTCAGCGGCCCCGCCGCCCTTCTCCTCAGCGGCCCCGCCGCCCTGCTCAGCGGCCCCGCCGCCCTACTTTGCGGCCCCGCCGCCTTTCCGCAGCGGCCTCGCCGCCCCTCGCACCAGCGGCCCTGCCGCCCTACACCGCCCGCGCCGCCCGAGCCGCCCGAGCCTCCCGAGCCGCCCGACCTGCCCGAGCTGCCCGAGCCGCCCAAGCCGCCCAACTCTCCTGAGCCGCCCGAGCCGCCCAACCAGCCCGAGCCGCCCGAGCCGCCCGAGCCGCCCGAGCCACCCGAGCCGCCTGAGCCGCCCGAGCCGCCTGAGGAGCCGAGCCGCTGGTGCCACGGAGCCGCAGTTGCTGCAGTGCTGTCCGAGCAGCCGTGTTGCCGTGCTGCTGTACCGCTGAGCTGCCCGACCCGCCCTGCCTGGTGAGAGCAGCGCTTGTGTCACTGCACTGCCCCTGTCCTACACTTGGTACTGCTAGTCCACTGTTGTCATGGCTACCCCTAGTGTTCTCGCTTTTGACGCTGAGGGTCGAGCCATTGACTTTGAGGTTTGGGTGGATGACCTGCAGTGCGATAGGGCAGACAGTCTTTCCCTCTTTGACCTCACCTCTGGTGCTTCCCCTGCCCCTGCTGCCGATGCCGACGCCACTGTTTGCTCCCAGTGGGCCACTCGCGATGCTGCTGCACGTCTTGCTGTGCGTCGCCACCTGCCTACCACTGAGCGCGCACACTTTAGCCAGTACAAGAGTGCTCAGACCTTGTACGACGTTGTCGTTGCACGCTACTCCTCCCCTGCCACTGCTACACTGAGCCGCCTCATGCTACCGTACCTCTTTCCTGACCTAGCTGCCTTTCCCACAGTCGCTGACCTCATTACGCACCTCCGCACTAGTGACACTCGCTACCGCGCCGCGCTTCCTGCTAAGTTCTGCGCCAAGAACCCCCCCCCCCCCCCCCCCCCCCATGTACATCACTCTCTATTATATAGTCACCCGCCTCCCTGACTCCCTTCGTGTAGTCAGGGACCACTTCCTCTCAGTCTGTCCCACCACTCTCACTGTTGACCTCCTAGAGAAGGCCCTCCTAGCGGCGGAGAAGAGCATAGTCGCTGTAGGAGCCTCTCGTGGTGACCCTCGCACCCCCATCTTTGAGGGGTGTTCCCCTTCCCCCCTGTTGCCCTCTGTCGCCTCTTCTGCTGCGGCCGACCTCGTTGGTCTTGAGTCGGTCGGAGCGGCGTCTGCCCCTAGCGGGAGACGCCGCTCTGGCAAGGGCTAGGGGGGCAAGGGCGCGGGTGGGGCTAGCGGGGGTGGTGGAGGTGGCGGTGGGGGCGGCGGGGGGAGTGGGGGTGGCGGTGGGAGTGGTGGCGGGGGTGGAGATGGCGGTGGCAGCGGCGGAGGCGGAGGCGGCGGTGGCGGTAGCGGTGGGAGCGGAGGCGGCGGTGGCGGCGGAGGTGGAGGCGGCGGTGGTGGAGGAGGTGGAGCTAGTCGGGGTGGTTCTTCTCAGCGGAGCGGCTCCGGGAGTGGTCAGCGCCAGCAGCAGCAGCGTTCTCGGAACATCCCCCCTCCTCAGCAGCTCCGTAAGTGGTACACGCAGCGTCAGCGTGGTGGGGGTTTTGGCCCGTGCACCTACGTCCTTCGCTCCAGCGACCGCTCGGGTGAGCAGTGTGGGGGTGCTCACCCCACCCAGCGCTGCTTTGGCCACCTGACGGACGCTTGGCGTCAGCAGTTCCCGGAGGCTAGTGAGATCCCCCGCTGGGGAGAGCTGTCTAGGGCAGGCGTAGCTATCTTTGATCTTGACTTTGATGCTATCCTTGCTGCCATGTATGCTGTGACTATTAGTGATGAGGGTGACTGTTACCGGTGTTTCCCGCCCGACCCGGGCATTGGTACTGCTGCT